CAAGGTATTGCTTTCCTATTCTCCTGGTAACATGACTTGTGAACTATGACCCTACAGAAAGCCATTGGAGGACACACTGGAGAATGCTATGTACCAAGTGAGGGAAAAATCTCTCCTCACTTTTCTGTTTCTCTGAAAGCTACAAAGACAGGAAGTTTCAGAAGCCAACACTGGAGTCAGGGAGCCAGGCTCCTAGGTGATTGGGGGTTTTCTGGTTTCAAATTAGACAGAAAACTAAATTAACAAATTAATTGTTGGATGTGTTTCCTGGGCCCTTCATCAGCTGCTGCATGACCAGTAGCCAATGAAAGATGGTTTCTGGTTGCCCCAGAGAGGGGGCAGGGTTCAGAATCAGGTTCTGTCAGTCTCCAAGTGTCAGACATTTTAATTTTAAATTACTTTTGTACAGCCTGGTGTCAAAATGATTAAAGCATGAAGAGAAAACAGAAGGGAAGGAGAGAGAAGTGAAATGATCTACCTTGTATTGGCAGCAGGAACACTCACAGTCCTCTTTAAGTGGTTTCCTTCTATGAGATAAACCAGGTTTAAGTTAAGGCCCGGTAGTGAACACCTAAAATGGGGAGAGTAGTATATGGCACACACTACTTCTATACAGCAGTCTGCATTACTAACGCGAACGCATTGTCATCCCCAATAAAACCTTACTCTGATCATACGTTGAACACTTATGCTAAGTATATTTTACATTAAAGCCGGGCGGTGGTGGCACACGCCTTAAATCCCAGCACTCGGGAGGCAGAGGCAGGCGGATCTCTGTGAGTTTCAGGCCAGGCTGGACCGACAGCCTCCAAAACAATACAGAGAAACCCTGTCTCGTAAAACCAAAAAAAGTATATTTTACATTAAAAATGAAGGCTCTAGTTTTAACTTTTCAGTATTGGTAAAACAAAGACAGTATATCAAATAACCTCCACAATGGTACTGTGACGAAGGAAGGGTTGCTATTACCCTCATTTACAAGTCAGAGAACCAAGGCTTGAATAAGTCAAGTCAGCTCTTGGCATGGTGATACATGCCAATAACCCTAGCATTTGGAAGGTGCAGGCAGCAGGATCAGGAGTTCAAGGCTAAGCCTCAGCAACGTAGCAGGTTTGAGGCTAGTGAGGGCTTCATGAGACCCTTTCTCAAATAGAGGGGTGCAGAGAGGGCTAAGCAGTCAAGAACACTTGTACTCTTTCTAAAGACCACATGGGTCACTGCTGTCAATTCCATGAGCTCATGCAAGTAAACACACACATAAAATTAATAACAATAGGGGGCTCTGTGTAAAAAAAATAACAATAATAATTATATGTATTTAAATATAAAAGAAATAAAGAGTCTCACTGTGTATCCCTGCTGGCCTGGAACTCTATGTAAGCCAGACTAGCTTCAAACTTACATAGATCTGCCTGCCTCTGCATCCTGAGACTTGAAACTAAACCCAGGCGTTGCCCATACAACAAAACAACCTAGAGTGCACACTTAAAAAACATGTGGATTCAGTTTTTACTTTTTTGTTTTGAGGACTGTTATACATGTTTGCTTTTTTTTTTTTTTTTTTTTTTTTTTTTTGGTTTTTCGAGACAGGGTTTCTCTGTGGCTTTAGAGGCTGTCCTGGAACTCGCTCTGTAGACCAGGCTGGTCTCGAACTCACACAGAGATCCGCCTGCCTCTGCCTCCCGAGTGCTGGGAATATGTTTGCTTTTTAATATGTATTTATTTTGTTTTATGTATATGTTTGAGAGTCTGCACATATATGTGAGTCATGTTTGCTTTTTAGTATGTATTTATTTTGTTTTATGTATGTTTGAGTGCCTGCACATAGATATGTGAATCATGTTTGCTTTTTAGTATGTATTTATTTTGTTTTAAGTATGTTTGAGAGCCTGTACATAGATAAGTCAGTCGGGTTCATGCCTGGTGTCCACGGAAGAAGATAGCATTGATCACCTAGAACTGAAGCTACAGGTGGTTTTAAGCCACCCTGTAGGTGCTAAGACATGAACCCATGTTCTCTGCAAGTGTTCTTAACTGCTGAGCTATTTTCCCAAGCCAGCCATGCCTAATTTTGTTTGCTTTTTCCCATTGGCACATGCCTTTAATCCTAGCAATCAGGAGGAAGAGGCAGGCAAATCCTGGAACTTACTCTGTAGACCAGGCTGGCCCTGAATACACAGAGATTCACCTACCTCTGCCTCCCGAGTGCTGGGATTAAAACTCTGCACCACCAACACTGGCTTAAGGTTCAGTACTTCTGAATTTATCACAGCAAATTTTTTTCTTTTCTTTTCTTTTCTTTTTTTTTTTTTTTTTTTTTGGTTTTTCGATACAGGATTTCTCTGTGGCTTTGGAGGCTGTCCTGGAACTCGCTCCGTAGATCAGGATGGCCTCGAACTCACAAGTGATACAGCTGCCTCTGTGTTGGGATTAAAGACCTGCCTCCCCTACGTGTTGAGATTAAAGAATGCCTCACTGCCCAGCTGAGGCTCTCTTTCTAAATGCCAAGAACTGGTGATGAGCTCCATGGCAGAGTGCTTGCCCAGCATATGCAAGGTCCTGGCTTCATCTCCAGCATCTCAAGAGCACCGAGAAGGATATATTCAGTCCTAGAATTTCTTTCTTTCTTTCTTTTTTTTTTTTTTTTCGAGACAGGGTTTCTCTGTATTGTCTTGGAGGCTGTCCTGGAACTCTCTTTGCAGACCAGGCTGACCTCGAACTCACTGAGATCCACCTGCCTCTGCCTCCCGGGTGCTGGGATTAAAGGCGTGCACTACCAACGCCCGGCTCAGTCCTAGAATTTCAAGAATGCATTATCTGTGGACTTGAAAACAGTCTTAATTACCTGGTGGTGGTGGACTATGCCTGTAATCCTAGCACTCAGGAGGCAGAGGCAGGTGGATCTCTGTGAGTTCCAGGCCAGAATGGTCTATAAATGGAGTTTCAGGACAGCCAGGGCTACACAGAAACCCTGTCTGGAAATAGAAAACAAAACGAAACAAAAAAATCCTATGCTTTTCAAGAACCTAATGAGCAGGTTATACTGATTTCCCATGTTCTACAGCTTCCCAGAAAATAGCAGTGTCACACAGGCCCATGATAATGTACATTTCCAGTGCCACTAGTCATACAGACTTTGTTCCATTCTAAGGTGGCCTCGTTTATATTCACAGGACCTCGTCCATATTCTTTTCTTTTTTTTAAAAAAAATATTTATTATGTATACAGTATTCTGCCTGCATTCATATCTGCATGCCAGAAGAGGGCGCCATATCTCATTACAGATGGTTGTGAGCCACCATGTGGTTGCTGGGAATGAACTCAGGTCCTCTGGAAGAGCAGTCAGTGCACTTAACCTCTGAGCCATCTCTCCAGCCCCCTCTTCCATATTCTAAGCTATAATATGTGCCTAAATTTCCTACCCATATGTTCTAGAGCCTTGCTTCGGTCCTGAACAAGTCAACTTCCTTTGTTTAATTTTTGAGACACGGTCTTAGCCTGGAACTTGCTATGTAGACCAGGCTAGCCTCAAACCTCCATAGTGTTAGGACTACAGGCTCACTCGACCACACCACATTTAACAAGTCTAATCGCTTTTCCATTGCTCATGAATCCAGCTTCCCTGAGAACTCCAAGCCTTCGCCTTGCTTTAGTTGTTTTCATTATATACCTGGAGGAAAATGTGTTACTTAGGAATGGTGGGACAGGGTTGAGTGCAGCCCTTTCCCCCATTCCAAAGGCTGTATTTCCATCTATCTAAAATTACTCCTGTTCCAAAGCTCTACTTGGAGAGAAAAGCCCTTCTGACTCCTTAGCACCTTCCCTGCCTAGCACTGGGCTTTCATGTTTATGTTTCTTTTGTGGCTCTGTCACAACACGCCCACACACTTCTCTTCTTTGTGACCTTGACCCCCATTCTTTCAGTGTATTAGTGATGTGGAGTGCACACAACTACACTCATTTCTTCTCTCACCTCCCCTCTTCCCACTTTCACTTCCTCACGTCTACCTGCACAAGAGTCTCCAAGCTGTGCTCTCAGCAGCTGGCTTCTTTGTAACAGGTAGTAGGCACACTCCAAAGCACCACTGCCGCGCTGTCGGAACGTGTCTAGCCTGGTTAGCACTCATAATGCATATGCTGACAGTCCGGGGCTGGTTTCCAAGACAGTAATCTGATTTGGGAATGCTTCCTCTAAGCAGGTCTCAAATTTCACTTTCTTGAACTTCCAAAGGAAAAATGCCTAGCCTAACCTAGGAGCTGCTCATATAGATCACATCCTCCGTGAAAACGTGGGGAATTAAGAGTCACTGTTCTTTGCATGGACAGTTAAATGAGGATCAGCTTGGGTGACAGGAAGCAGCTGGAAACAGCCTGTATTCAAATCCCAGAACTGTTGTTCACAGGCTGGGTGTTCCTGGTAACTGCTCCATCTGCAGAACGGTGGCAGCAACAGTGGCCACCTCTTGGACCTACTGTGAAGAGTTAAATCACTTAAAGCATTTAGAACAAGGTCTAGCTCTCACGCAGTTAACAAAAAAACAGCCATTATTATTCCCTCACGTCGTAAAAGGATTTAAAGGTACAACAGAAACAAGATCCTTTTTCCCAGGCACTTGGGTTTCTCTGCTGGAATCTCTGCAAGCCTTGGGTCCTTAAGCATTGGTATGGAGGTTTTGGCTTTTTAAGGAAGCAGACATTCAACAGAGGCTCAAGAGTCATTTGTGAATGAATGCCCCTCCATCTGGAGCTAGCAAGGCATAGGGTACAATTGTTATTTACGAGGAAAAATAAAGGTTGGAGGACCTGGAATCTACCAGAGCTGAGCTCCAGGGTTGGAGCTTCCTTTCCTGCCTATTGGAAAACAATAAACCAGAGACAACAACAAACAAAAAACCGTTTCAGACAAAAACAAGCCAATGTGGATCCTAGCTAGAGTTACCAAAAAATGGGCTAAATGGTTAAAGTCTTCAGATTTTAAAAAAAGAAAGCATGACCTCTCCTTTTCCTTTCAAAACTTCCCTTTTTATTTCTTGGTCATACAGCCGTTTAATATAGAATTAATTCTAGAAAACGACAAGGGTCCCACAGACAGCTATACTTTGTCATAGGGCATGGTTCGAGGCTATACTACATAGAAAAAGACATTAAAGTTGTTTCAAATCACCTTAAAACACATTAAGTAAATGGAAGACCCAGAACAAAGAGAGTGATTAAAGCTGGTTTAACCGCATTCAAGCTCACCACGCATACCCCTCAGGGGTTCACGTTAAACAGCAAATTTGGTCTCATGGCCTAAATCTTTCTTCTTAAAAGAACAACATTTTCTTGCAACTCTGATGTTTCTTATTTTTCAGACCCCGAGAAAGAAAAGAGTTTACCTGATTGAGTTGCATTTTAGGACAAGAGCGACTAGAAAACGGAACCAGAGGGTGATGGTTTACACAATCCTCGTAGCTACTGAGGCATGGGTGTGTGGGATAGTTCAGCCCCAGAAAAGGGCCAGTTAGTGACACCCGGGATGAGGACTTCATCCGGCAGCGAATTAAATTAGGCTGCGAGAGAAAGAAAAGGTGTAATTAAGCCAGTGCCGTTCGTGCCTGCTTACGGGGCCTGGCAGCAATTTGGTTGAACACCCTTCATCTTGAGAAATTTATAATTTGGCAGTAAGTTGGCACAAACCCAGTTTAATATTGCAAAATCTGGGAAATGTCGAAATATGGCTTGCTCATTGAACTTTTCCAGGCTCTCTCGAATTATTTTTCTCCCTCTCGGATTCAGAAAGCAGCGTGCCTCTTGAGAGAAGGCCACGAGGATATTTTTTTAAAGCACAATGTCAAGGAAACGCAGTCATGCGGGCTGCAATCAACTTTCCTGATTTCGACCTTTGTGTACGGAGGGGAGAAAATGGGTTTCAACTGCAAAACCCGAGTTCCCGCGGTTGGTAGCCCTTTAAAAAAAAACCCCACAACCAGTACTTTGGTTTCCGGAGTGAGAGCCGCGCAACGCTTCGCCCCGGCCTATTCCCCGTTGTTCTAAAGTACGAGAGAGGTCGCCAGGTTAAGTGACCTGTGGCCAACTCTGGCTGCCTGGGTCCAAGTTGCTCCCAGCGGCTTCTGGAAAGTAGCTGCAAGTTTTCTGACAGGAAACCGGGCAGTTTTAGAACGTCCCGGGTCCGGTTCCCACGGAAGCGGCGCCCCCCCGACGCCTCCGTCGAAGCCGCGGCGAGCGGCAGGGGGCAGCAGCGGGAACCCGTTGTTCTGGAGGCGGGGTGGGGCGGGAAGCGCCCCCCACCTCGGCTTCCGCGCCCTCCCCTCACCCGCCCGCGCGGGCGCCCCTCCCCTCGGCGGGAGGAGGGCGGGGACGCCGAGCCCTCCCCCGGGAGGGGGGGCGTGAGCCTCGCGCGCACCCCTCCCCCCGGCCGGCTCCCCTGGCGCCCCGAGGCGGGAGTTTCCAGGAAGAGCTCCGAGCGCGGCCGCACCACCGGGCGCACGGACACGTTAAGTAGTTCCTCCGCGCGTCCTCCTTAGGCGGGCACTTTCTAACTGCCAGGGCCGGCCCGGGCTGCAACCCGGAAAAGACAGGAAGGGGAGGCCCGGCCGGAGGGACTCCAAGGCGAAGAGGGCTGCGAGCCCACTTTCCGTTCCTGGAGGAATGTGAGGGGGCGGCACAACGAGTTCCGGCCGAGGGCTCGGGCGCGCCCGGTGGAGTGCAGCGCGGCGCAGTCGAAGCGCTCACAGAGTTAAAGTGGGCGGGAAAACCCGGAGCGGACTCTCGGTAGCACGCCCAGGACCTCCCGCCCCGCTCTTCGTGGGGGAGGGGGGAAGGGAGGGAAAGAGCCCCTTTCCTCGGCTCCCTAACCCCCAACTGAAGAAACAGGTGTCCGCCCGCCCCCTCTAGGGGCCCCCTGCAGGCCTCGGGGGGCCGCGTGTCGCGGGAGGGCGGGGCGGCTCCTCCTCTTCCAGCGTGCGCGCCGTCGGTGCTGGCCGCGCAGCGGCAGCGAGCCTGCCGGGCCAGCGGGCAGGAGGAGCGGGGCGCGCATGCGTGCGGTGGGAGCGCACTTCCCGCCCCTTTCCTGAGCGAGTTCGCTCCTCCCCTCCCCCCACGTTCCTCAGCCGCCACCTCAAAGCCTCCCCCGCAGCCCGCGCGCTGCCCTCGGGGGAGGTGGCCGGTCTCGCCCGTCCACTGAGTAACCCCTTCACCCCAGTTTCGCCCCGCCTCTTGCCGAGCTCCGGTACAAACTCCGCAGCCGAGGGCTCGGCTTTCACATTCCCGCCTCCGCCCTCCGTCTCCCTCCCAACCCTAAAGCACTTCCTGCAAACTGCCGGCTGCGCGGCTGCTTTCCGTTGCGGGTGCGGCACCTCCCTGTACCCGGGCTCCCTCTGACTTAGCCTGCTCCATTTTACAGACGGGAAACGCAGGGTCGACGCCTTAGGGCCACTGGAGTTTTCCCCAAAATGAAGCCCGAGAACTGCCATCCCGGAAAGCTAAATCTCGACTTTCCACAATTTAAGCTATTTCGTCACCAGCCCTTGCCCTACTGGGACCCTGCGATCCGATCCCTCTGTTCTCCAACAGCCCAGTTAGCAATCGCCAGTGAAGCAAGTGATCCCAAGTCATGTGAGAAAGACTTCTAAGAGAGGGAGGAGAGTCGTTTGCTACAATTTTTTTGCTTGATTGCTTGCTTTTCTGTGACAAGTCTTAGCCCAGGCTGGCCTCCAACTCTAGCTAAGGATGACCTTTAATTTCTGATCATCCCTCCTTGTCCCCAGTGCTGGGAATTCGAATCCAATACTCGCTCGTGCTTGCTACAGGTCCACTGTTTAGTCAACTTTAAACATAGTATATATTTTCTTAGACTTTGTAGATTTGTTAGATTTTGTAATTCTGTTATTGTCTCCTGCACTTGAGAGCAGAGACCATTCTTTGAGATTGATAAGGCTCCAGATGTGGCTCAGGCTGACCTTGAACTCATGGTCCTACTGCCTCAGTCATCTGACTATTTTATCTTCAGAGGAAACCTTTCCTTTCTGTTAGTACTGTTGGTCTTATGTTCCGGAACACTCCCATGTCCCCGGTGTCCGATCTTTCTTGGGCTTCTAGGTCTAATTGTAGTTAGTCCAAGTCCATGAGAGGCCTGCAGAACTGACAGATGCCCAGAGAATCCTGAAAACATTAGCGCCGTAAACCTATTGTGTGACACAAACTTAGAAACTATAACCAGGAATTTACCTATTTATTTTGGTTTTGTTTTGGACACAGGGTTTCTCTGTATTGTTTTGGAGCCTGTCCTTGAACTGGCTCTGTCAACCAGCCTGGCTCTGCCTCCAGAGTGCAGGTTCTTGGGAATTTAACTCCAGTCATCAGGCTTTTAGGCAAGTGCTTTTCCCATAACCAGAAATTTAAGGGAACATATTTAGGGAACCATTATTTCAGATTTAACTGTTTAGAGAATCTTATTATGAACATTGTAAATATGGAGGTATTTTTGATCAGTTTTCTCTTATTTATTTATTTATTTTTGTTTTCCAGATACTGTTTTTCTGGGTAGCCCTGGCTGTCCTGGAACTCACTCTGTAGACCCGGCTGCCCTTGAACTCAGAGATCCACCTGCCTCTGCCTCCTAAGTGCTGAGATTAAAGTGTCTCCAACTGAGCGTAAAGCTTGCCAAATCAGCTAGACTAACTGGTCTGGAAAGCACCCAGAATCTTCCTGTCTCTGCTTCTTTGTTGAGATGACAAAAACTAAGGCAAATTCATGACAGTGCTCCTACTGTAGCTCACTGTGTGCAGAAATTAAAGGTGTGGGCTTCCATGCCCAGCTAAGAAAATATACATACTTCCAATTCAGAAATCTTTATGCTTTATATAAGTTTTTTTCCTACACTCCCCCCCCCCCCGCCGAGAGAGAGAGAGAGAGAGAGAGAGAGAGAGAGAGAGAGAGAGAGAGAGAGAGAGAGAGAGAGAGAGAGAGAGAGAGGGGGGGCACGCACAGCACAGACACAGAGAGAGGGTCTCTCTGTATAACAGCCCTAGCTGTCCTGGAAATCACTGTGTAGACCAGGCTGGCCTCCCACCATCCCTGGATCGCATGAGGTTTTGCAGGCATCTGAAGATTCTCAGGACTCCTGCTTGGGCATCAGAGTCCCCTGCAGCTTGAGTGTGGCTGTTGTGTCCTAGTCTGCAAACCAGTCCTCTCAGGGGCTGCGCTGAAGGTGATACAAGGTTTCCAGCTCAAACCTATTTCATTTCCAACATTTAAATTCAGAAGTTAAATTGGAAGACTGTCAAGAACATTGTCTTTCTTAAGTAAAATGAAAAAATTACATATGAAAATATATTCTTACTTATCGAATCTAGGGATAATTTCCAGAACTCTTGTATGTTATTATTACATCAATACTCAACCTACAACAGTGTCCTAGAGACATTAGAGTCAAATTGCTATGGTGTATGCAACCCCCTGAGTTGGGGGGGCACTGCAGGAGCAGTGTGATTCTTGAGGGAATCACATGATAAGACTGAACAGGCTCCTGCCTGCAGTTACAGAGACTGAAGCAGGAATACTCAAGGCCAGCCTGGGCTACAGAGTGTGGAGTCAGGCTTTCCTTTGGGCTACCAGCTCACACATAGCAACACGGAGACTCATTAATTGTGAAAGAAAGTTCGGCCTATAACTTAGGCTTGTTCCTAACTAGATCTTATAACTTAAATTAATCCATTTATATTAACCTGTGTTCTATCACGTGGTGTCACCTCTCTTCCATCTAGAACCTTCTGTTTCTTGTTTGTGTATTTTGGCTTCTCCTGGCCCTCGATTCTGCCTCCTCCTCCTCCTTTCTCTCCCTGGTGGCTGTTCAGTGTCATGTTGTATCGTCCCCCTCCCCGCCAGACAGGGTTTCTCTGTGTAGCTCAGTAGACCCGGCTGGCCTCAAACTCAGATGTCCGCTTGCCTCTGCCTCCCCAGTGTTGGGACTAAAGGTGTGGGACACCACCGCCTGGCTAGCTGTTCCGTTCTTTATTAAACTGATCACAGCAATCTGTCTTCCCATAGTGAACAGATATCCCACAAGAGTAAAGCTCTCAGAAGAAAAGATGGGCAAGGGAAGGGCGGGCAGCGAGACATCTCAGCAGGCGCTGGTGCTTGGTGCAGAGTCTGAAGACTGGAGTTGGAAGCCTGGAAGCCACTCGGTGGGAGCAGAAGAGGACCAACTCCTGCAAATTGTCCTTCTACGTGCACATGTATATTACAGCACATGTGCACACTCACACTGTACACACACACAGATAAATGTGGAAAGATAGCCCAGTTTGTATAGCTTGTCACCCAAGCATGAGGAGCTGAGTTCAAACCCCCCAAGCCCACATGAAAAAAATAAAGACAGGCATGGGGCAAACACTTGTAATCTCAGTGCTGGCCCGGAGAACATGGCAGCATAATGTCAAGTACCAGTTTACAGTGAACCACAAGTCACAGTGAGGGGCTCTGTCTCAAAAACAGGATGACTGGGGGCTGGAGAGACAGCTCAGTGGTTAAGAGCACTGCTTGTGCTGGGTGTTGGTGGTGGCACACCTTTAATGCCAGCACTAGGGAGGCAGAGGTAGGTGGATCTCTGAGAGTTCAAGGCCGGCCTGGTCTGCAGAGCAAGGGCCAGGACAGACTCCAAAGCTATATAAGGAAACACTGTCTCAAAAAACCAAAAAAAAAAAAAAAAAAAGTACTGCTTGCTCTTCCAGATGGACCCATGTTCAATTCCCAGGACCCACATGGCAGCTCACAGCTGTCTATAACTCTAGTTCCAGGGAATCTGACGGCAATGCACATAAAATAAAAGTTAAATATTTTTTTTTCTGTGCATTAGGTGCTTTGCCTGCAGATATGCCTGTGTGAGGGTGTCAGATCTTGGAGTTACAGACAGCTGTTAGCAGCCATGTGGATGCTGGGAATTGAACCCCCGGTCCTCTGGAAGAATAGTCAGTGCTCTTAACCACTGAGCCATCTCTCCAGCCCCAAAAGTTAAATAAATTGTAAAAAACAAAAACAAGATGGCTGGATCCTGAGGAACTCTGCCTTCCACAGGAGTGCACACACATGCACACGCACACAGGTGAAAATACACAAAGCCTTTCATACAAAAAATTCTAATTCATAGGAGAAGCAACACAAAATGAGAAGTCGTCAGCTGTCTTCCATCAAAGTCCAGGCTATCATTTGCTTCTGTCTTAGAGCAGGTCATTATTGTGGCTTTTGTATCCAAGTTGGATTCATTTACTCATTCATTTATTTAGGTGCTGGGGATTAAACCCCATGTGTGCTGTGTGCTAGGCAAATGCTCCCTCTCTGAGATAAAACATTACTGTGTAACCCAAGCTGGTCACAAACTTAGTATCTCACCTTTCTATCTAAGGTGGCTGACTCTAGGGTACACCCATACAGCCCAACACCCAGCTAACTAGAAATTTGGATTCCTCTCCTCTGTCCCTTCCTCTCCCCTCTCCTCTCTCTTTCAACAGGGTCGCACTCTGTAGTTCAGAACATCCTGGAGCTCACTATATTCCCTTACTGGTCTTGGATTTATGGTGAATCTCCTGGTTCACCCTCCCAAGTCCTGGGATCACAGGTATGCACGATCACTTCCAGATAAACTGGGCATTTTCATTGCTTTTTATTTGAGACAATGTCTCAGATAACCTAAACTGTATCCTCAGCCCTTTAAGCCAGAACTTTCTTTTTGGTGTGTATGTTTTGTGTGTGCATTTTCAAGTGTTTATACAAGGTTAGAGGTTGATACTGGGGTCTCTTTCTCCATTGCTTTCTGCCTCCTATTCTTTTGTTGTTGGAATGGTGTTTTTTGTTTTTGTTTTTGTTTTCCAAGGCAGGGTTTCTCTGTATTGTTTTGGAGGCTGTCCTGGAACTCGATCTGTAGACCAGGCTGGCCCCAAACTCACAGAGATCTGCCTGCCTCTGCCTCCCGAGTACTGGGATTAAAGGCGTGCCCCACCAACGCCCAGGTGGAGGTGGTGGTTTGTTTGTTTCTTATTTTGGTTTTTTTCTTTTTTTTTTTTGAGATAGGGTTTCTCTGT